ATTCTTAACATCGCATAATATTCACAGCTTGTTGCGGTCTCGAACGCGCAACTCACCGCTTTAACTGTCTCTTATACACATCTAGATGTGTATAAGAGACAGGTTTTGCAGAGCACGTCATGTGAAGATGGACTGAAAAGAAGTACAGTAAGATTACAAAATTCTGTATTTCATTCTCCGCATACCATCTGCGTCCTCTGGCAATTGAGGACACGTCAGCGTGTTCGCTGTTCCACGCCGGAGCCGACCGGTTCGTGCACCTCTCTTCTCCATGCATTACCGACTGTGTAAAAAGTGTAACAAGTAACAACTAACAATGGCGGTAGAGTGCGCCAAAATGTTCAAGAACTGATGCAATAATTTATCATAGAGCTTAGCATTACTATGGTGCAGAGGCTCATTATTATTGGCTTAGTTTCTAGTTATATGTTTATTTGGTTGTCACGAGTGCGTGCAAGTTTGGGAAGTTGCAGCGCGGTTTTTTAGTTTAAAGCCGTGGCCCCTGGTGTTGGTTCTTGTTTCAAATTCTAGTAATCCTTCGGGGACCTTGGATAAACCGTGAGTATACTTGTGTAACCGGAAACACCGCCGCGAAGTCGAAATAATTATGGGTGACGTGCCGACTTGACGGTGACTTCCGTATTGGTTTTAACACAAGGGCTGAAGAGTCACTCTTTGGTCCGGCTTTAAATTCCCTTGCGTTGGAGACAGGAGGAATTTAAAAGCAAAGAAAACGCCAAGAAAATTCACCATATCGATATTGAAAACGTTTCGGAGTCCAGCTCCATCATCAGTTAGCATTTACCCTAGCCTGATTATGCACTTTTATTAATAATTGGTAGGGCAAATGCGGTATATTCCGACACATTAAGGACATGGCAAGAAATGTATGGCTATAAAAATATCACCGTATGCACAACTCGAGTTCTGCTTGCTTTACGTCACTCAAAACACCACTCTGTGCGCCAGCAATGATGAAACGTCACAAACTGTTGCCATATTTATTTAAAAGCCTTTAGAATTCAAACCTACAAAATCCCTTAATTCTGATGCTATGTGTGACTAAACTTGGCCTAATGTGAGACTAATTCTTGCAGTGCTTCAAACTCTATTAACCCTTTAGCAGGCAAGCATTGAAATATCCAGAAATTAAAATTTCAGAAACCGTTTCAAGAAAGTAAGAAGTATTATACAATATATTTATTTCTGTGAATTTTTGCAAATTTTGCCTATTGAAGGTTTAAATCGCACTTGAAGAATTCAATAAATGCAATCAGTACACAAAATTTTTCTTTATAATCAAAATTCAGTTTATGCAAATGAAAAATTATTAGATCTATGAACAAGGCACGAAAAGGAAAAGAATCGGCGACAGGCCACATCAGGCCTACACTTCAGCGCCGACATCACTATGTTATGTTAATTCCATCATCCTGCTTCTGTATGAGTGGCATTATTTTCCTTAGCAGACTGTAAAACAAGTCCACTGGCAGTCTAGTATAATTTTGAAAGTCTGATGCATCCGCAACTGATAATTGTAAGGAATTCATACAAGCATAGCTGCTAACAATTTTATGGAAAGTCCAGTGAACAAAACTTCGGATTCAGCTAAGTAGAATACCCGAACTGCAGTGGATGCAGTTGAGGAAACTGAAATTAGAAGAATTGACCTTACTAAATGAATGCCGGAGATTAAGAAATGATTATATCAATTATGCCCAACAATTTCAATTCAGCAGTACAAAACATGACAGTGAACGCATTTCCCGTCCAACAAATGAAATAACGTTTACAGCACAAATAATGTCGCGCTGGTTGCACTTTTGGAATGGAAAACACGGCAAAAGAGATTCGACGAGAATACCAGAGGTTTTACTGTAAATATTAACGGTTGAGGATCAGATTGGACAGACAAGTAAAGGCTATCGTATCGGATTCAATTCATTATGCGGATCAAGATATGACACAAACTTGTGCGGGCTCAACGGGGCAGGGAAAATCGAAGTTGGTTTTCTCCCGTTTATATCATATACTTGAGTGACGTAAGCTGAGTGACGTAAGCTGGAAATAAGATTTAATATTAGTTAATAGGTCGAGAAAGACTTACATGGAACTTACACTAGGCAGAGGCTAGACTCATTGAAAAAAAAAAAAAAAAAAAGTTAATAGGTCGAGAAAGACTTACATGGAACTTACACTAGGCAGAGGCTAGACTCATTGTTTAGACTTAAGTGCTAAACTTGTAGATGAGCGTTCTTAATTGACTTCTCGATAACAAAATTACGACTGACATGACAGGAATTGTTTATGTCGGCATGGCCGCGATATTTCATTTGTTACTCACACGAGGTGGTTTTGGCAGGCGAGAAGAAGAGACGACAAAGTTGACGATAATTACGTTTAAGATTTCCGAGCTTCAATGAGTTAGGCCAGATCTACCTAGTCTTGATATTCAATTTCTTATGCTTAAATTCGCCAACGCTGAGTTGGGTTTCAATTACAGTTATAGCGTCAACGCTAGGTTGGGATTCGATTCCGATAATAGTGCCAACGTTGGGTTGGGCTTGCTTACTGTTCTAGTGCCAACGGCTGTGGTTGGGAACTTGGGCTTGGCCTACGATTACGGTACCTGAGATCATAAAGTAGGAGGTTAAGTTTAGATGACAATATCTTGAAGTTACCTAAAATACTTCATATTAAAAGGGATGTAATGAATCACAAGTCTGCAGGGATGCCGTGTAGACAACGCCGGGAACAATGTAGTTTCCCGCAAAAATTTTCTTTATGACTGAATCGAAGAAAACGGAACGGCATCTCTCTTACATTGCTACATAACATTCGAATGCTTATAACGGCAATGGTGAGGCAAATAGCATAAAAAATATCAAATCAGTACATCCAGTTATGCGACAAATAATCCTTTCAAAATAATTACTCCTAGAACGCTGTTAGGAACGCGGGAACCTCTTGAGGGCTCGCTGCGTTCACATGGTTATAATTTCGTTGATCTTTGCGATATTTTCCACGCACTTGGGGAGTGAACGCAGGGATGAGTGAAGATTTGAAGAAAGAATAGAGGAAGATAAGAAAACTTAGTGCGTTTAATCTGACGAGTGACGAACGACGTCACAAGATATATGGATCAATTATGCAAATTAAGATAAACTAATTAGAGACTAACCTTCTAAATTATTACCGCTGGGGTCAATTTAGAAGTGGCTTGAAATCCATTTAGATTTAGAGGTACAAAGTTGTTTGACAGTGCAATTGAGTGCAATGGTTAGTAATTTAATTATTGGCCGACCCAACTTTACTAAGTTGGTTAATAGGGTTAAAGAGCTACAGGGCGTAAAGTAAATTAAAGTCTCGAAAGCCGGCAATACTGCCAAGTTAATTAATGCGTCAGAGACGTCTTAAAGTATTGGGTCAGACCAAAAGAGCAACGTGGCATGCATTAACTTGAAAAAGGGCCCATAGCATGCTTGAAATCAAATAGATAATAGGAAGTGAATTGCACTTTGGTCACTGTGAGCAATACAGCAGCCAAGAACACCATTAAGCAGCTTTCACACAGGGCGACAAATACCGCGCGCGTCAAAACTGCCGCGGCAGTATTTACCGCGCTATGTTTCACACGAGGCGGTTTTCAACGCTGGGATCTATCAGTCTTGCAGTGCTTTATGCACCATCAGTCCATCTCTATGTTTATGTAACAATATAACTATATAGAAATATATATATGTGAGAATAATGAAAATACATCTCTATGGAAATACCTATATATTTTATAGAAAATATATCTTTTATGAAATATACATATCTCTATCACTTTAAGGGTATATGTATTTCTCAATGTATATCTTTATGTTTATGTAACAATATTTATTTACCGATATTTCTGTGACAATTTTCAGGCTATAATCTATGTCTTGCAGTGTTGTTTATTATGAACCTAAAATACGGCCCCACTGTCTGCTAGGATGTGGCTTCAAAAACCGCCCAGTATGAAAGATTACGAAAGATTACATTGAATACCATTGCAAGCTAAATTGTCGCGGCAAATCTACCGCCGCAGTTTTAGCGCGACATACGCGTGCGTCAGGCGTCAAATTCTACGCCGCGGTAAAAGCAGTCGTGTGTGAACAGCAGTGCACATTTCGTATGTCCGCTAAGGTTCGGCGGTAAATACTGTAGGACGCTGGCTGTATTTACTGCCCTGTGTGAAAGGGGCCTTAGGCCCCTCACGCCAGCGTGTGTCGCGCTAAAACTGCGGCGATAGATTTGACGCGACAGTTTAGCTTGCACTGGTATTCAATGTAATCTTTCATACTGGGCGGTTTTTGACGCCACATCCTAGCAGACAGTGGTGCCATATTTTAGGTTCATAATAAACAGCACTGCATGACATAGAATATAGCATAATATTATTACATAAATATCGGTACATAAATAATGTTACATAAACATAAAGATATACATTGATAAATATATATATCCTTGAAGTGATAGAGATATATTTCATATAAGATATATTTTCCATAAAATAATATATAGGTATTTCCATAGAGATGTATTTACATTATTCTCACGTAGAGATAGATTTCCATATAGACATGTTGTTACATAAACATAGAGATGGACTGATGAAGCATAAAGCACTGCAAGACTGATAGATCCCAGCAGTAAAAGCGCCTCGTGTGAAAGATTGCGCGGTAAATACTGCCGCGGCATTTTTGACGCGCGCAGTATCTACTGCCCTGTGTGAAAGGGGCTTTAGAGTATCCTCCTCCACCAATCGACACTTCAGCGAACTCGCCTGCGAACCCGCCAACGCACTCGAGTGCAGAACCTAACTTCACGTTAACATCACCCAGCCATAAATCCATTAATACTGAACGGATTTCATTCAAACTTGAAACATTAGTAGGTATTACTGATGCGCTGTGGAGGGATTTATTTCAGATTTTTACATCAACTCGTTTTTTATTAATTCGGAAAACCTAACTTAACGTTTAACTCACCCAGCCTGAGTTAAAAAATGCTACCCGTTTTTTTTCTCAAAAATTTATAGCTAAAAAACGACAACACGCAGGTTAGGTTAAGACAGCATAGTTCTTTTTTTAATGTTACAAAATAATGAAACCTAACCTGACCAGGACCTAACCCGCGAGATGAACGTGAAGTTAGGTTTTCCGTGTTAATAAAAACCGAGTTGATGTAAAAACCTGAAATGATTCCCTCCACAGCACATCAGTAATACCTACTTATGTTTAAAGTTTGAATGAAATCAGTTCGTTATTATTTTATTAATGTATTTATGGCTGGGAGAGTTGAACATGAAGCTAGGTTTTCCGTATTAATGAAAAAGGAATTGATGTAAAAATCTGAAATAATTCCTTTCACAGCGCATCAGTAATACCTACTTATGTTTCAAGTTTGAATGAAATCCGTTCAGTGTTGATGGATTTATGGCTGGGTGATGTGAAAGTGAAATTAGGCTTTGCATTCGAGTGCGCAGGCGGGTTCGCAGGCGAGATCGCTGAAGTGTCGATTCGGTCCTCCGCACAAAAGCTGTCAAGAGTAATTGCACTTCTTTCTTTAATTGGAATTTATGGGGGCCTCTGAAGACTGGTTCAATGCGGCCCCATGTCAGAACAGTTGAAGGAACTTGACTGAATTATGTTTTCTTGTACAAAATTAAGTGCATTGATAAAAAAAAAAAACTCAAGATTTCTCAATGGCTGAAGGGTTGCAGAACGGGGCCACCAAAGTGAAGACCACACCGGGGCGGAGAGCACCACTCCAGGGCAGACAGCCCCACTATTAGCTGGTCGCACCATGGCATCCGCCGGCTCAACGCCTCGGAGCGGGACAGTACGGCATTTTCAAAGTTCAAAAAAGATACTAGATAGATCTAGAAAATATGACGTAGCAGCCGGCCGAAGCCGGCTACTGTCACGGGAGCTTAGCACAAGGAACCTCTTGCCTCAACGGTTAGAACAGCACTCCGTAATTGCACTTAAATGCTTCCGTAGTTCCTTTGACATCAATACTTATTCTTCAAGGTCTCCGTTAAATTAAAACGGAACATGAATTTAATTATACGGAACAAAATTTCCAATATAATTATTTGAAAAATTTAATTGTGTTAGCCCCCTCTCTTCTTTGCAACCATTTTTTCACCCAAATATGGCAACGCATACATCTTTTCTTCACAACAGCGCACCCGAGAACAATGGCCCGGAGCCCGATTTCGGATACACCCATCCTCACTGACGTCTAACTGGCAATTAATCTTCAAAGCTACCGCGTCTCCAATTTGATTTTGTCTCGAGCTACCGCGTACAAAAATAAGTGTGAACAGTTGTGGGCGGTGAGGCGCTGCAGCAGGTGCCTCACCGCCCATATCGTTGCCCCTAGTGTAAACTGGCCTTCAGAGGCTGAACACAGCCATAGCAGCTGAAATCTTTACTGCACATGCCCTCAAGTATTTTCCTACCAATCAAAATTTTTATTTCAGTCTGGCATGGCGAATCGATTATGAAAGACAGGAATAGCTTTTGGCTATGAGACCTGCAGCAAGTGTGTGGTTACAAAGACAAATCGAATTGATACTGAGTTTGTCTGGATTATCGACCCAATCAAGCACAGCTCCGAGTCTGCTGCTTTGCTTACTCATTCTGACAGAGATCGGGCTGGTTTGTGCCTCTGTCACGGCAACCTTCAAAGCATCTAGAAAAAAAATACTTGACTGTCATCCGGTCCGTATAGTGCTAGGCTTTCATTTTATTTGCATTAACGTACAACTCCAGACATTTGCTTTATAAATAAGATTGGTGTTGGTGTTTAGTAGTTGCTAGTAACAATTTTCGCCAACACTATAGACGAGGGTCAAATGGCAAGCGTCCAGTTGAAATTTACGTAAGCCGGTACGTTAGCACTTTGCGGGAAGCTGTCATACAGTCACGCAGTCAGGAGGTCTGAGTCTGACTATTCTCGTGTCTACAAAAGAAATATAAGCCTTTAAAGTTTAAGAAGGCATTGTTTTTGGAAGTTTATTTGAAGACTTGTGGAAATTATACTAGTGAGTTATTTTAGAAGTAAGTTCACCTATCTATTTTCTGTGGCCTGCAGTCTGCACTGCGACCGACTGCTGCTAGCCTATCTGCTAAGTTGCACGCCACCTACCTGTACCCGGAGGGAGCGCAGCCGTGCACCACAAATTTTGTACACCAATAAGCCCTGAATCGAACGCCTTGGAACTCTCCGGACATCCACCAATCAGCCGTGAATGGAACCTTCTATAGCTGAGCTCTCAATAGAAGAAAACGATCTGAATCAACCTGGTTCGAACCCCATGGTGGAACTGCCTCAATCGCCACCCATTTCACAACATCTCTCTACACAACCCAACACCACTGCGCCCTCCAACCCTTACCAACACCTTTCTTCTCACGCACCCCGATTCAACACATCTGTGCCCCCAGGCCAGCAAGAAACGTCACCTGGAACCCACCACCAACAACAACCTACTTCCTTCCCTCCTCATGCATTAGTCAACTCACATGTCTCTCCTACTAGTTCTTCAGCTGTCACTCAAAACCCCCCCGACTTTGCTTCCTTCTTCCTCATCAAGCAAATGCTGTTTCAGAAGGCGCCGGAACCCTTCAATGGAGACCCGTACACGTACCAGACGTGGCACGACTCATTCATGGCGAAGATAAGAGGATTGCCCCTGACATCGTTGGAAATACTAATGGCTCTGCAAGCCGACACCATCGGAGAACCACAGAAGATTGTTGAAGAATACCGAGCAATTGGTAGTCGCAACCCAGATCTTGCATTGCAAAATGTGTGGGATGCACTAAAAAACAAATTTGGATCTAACATCCGCATCGAAACTGCTCTAGCCGCTCGTGTCAACAACTTTGCACCAATTAAAAACCCCAGGCAGACACAGAGACTAGAGGAGCTGATCAGGCTGTGCGACATGATACTCTACAACATGCCATCATGTCCTGGCCTGCAGAGATACAATGAAGGAACTGGAATAAGAAAAATATGGCTCAAACTCCCACCAGTCATCCAGCATAGCTGGAGGTCAATCTGCTGTGACGACAAGTCTCAAGATGCTCATACTCCTGCATTTGCCACCTTCGTTGCCTTCATCAGGAAAAACTTGAACATGTACTCTAACCCTCTTTACGAGATCCCGTCTACCGAAGACACCAGGGTGCGAGACGTAAGGACCTACGCTACAAAAACCGAATCCGTACCCGAAACGTCAGCTCACAACCCCGCTGGAAGAGACGTATGTGTGCTTCACCCTTCTGAAACGCATCTCCTGAAAGACTGCAAGATTTTTGCAAATAAACTGTTTGAAGATCGACGAAAGATACTTCTTTTGAATGGTCTTTGTTTCCGGTGCCTCGGGAAACACAAACAATCTGACTGCAATGAAAAGCCCAAGTGCGACAAATGCGAGCACACTCATGCAACCGCAATGCATAAATCTCTGGCAGTGAGGCGAACACCGACTTCCCTTGCTAATAACCAAACAGCCAATTCTCCCAGGAAAACCGTGGGAGCCATCAACCTGTGCACAACAACCCGTGCACGTCAATCAAAAATTGTCAAACGCATCTGCAGCAAGGTCATTCTAGTTGACATCTGCCTCCCGTCTCGCTCTTCGAAAAGCATGAGGTGTTATGCCTTTATAGATGAAGGGAGCAATACATCCTTTGCTGACCCAAGGGTTGCAGACTTCTTTGGCATCCATGAGCCTCTGGTCGACTACAAACTCTTTACGATGGACAATCTCCAAAGCACAAGGACTGGAGTTGAGATAAGTGGCATACAAATAAAGGGAGCTTATGAGGAACGAAGCTTCCTCTTGCCAAATCTCATCACGTCTGACACAATTCCCCAGCACAAATCGCTGATTGCAGAACCTAACGTCGTGAAAGCTCACAAACACATTGCTCGTTTTACCAAGTATTTCCGTGAACCCGACAAGGACGCTGAAATACTCCTGCTACTCGGCGCAGATAGCGGATATGTAGTGAAAACCAAATTCTACGGCAACAAGCCTCCCTTCGTTGTCCACACAGCCTTGGGATGGGCCCTAGTGGGCAAAGTTTCCAACAAATCATCTCCCGTACCAGGACATCAAGTCCTGACCGTACACACCGATCAACATGACCTCAGCGTCCGGTCTAAACTGTGTTTCAACCGACCAGAGAAGCCCTGGAAAATCCCGGACGTACGACACACATTCGAGGAGCGTCACGACGATGAGAACCCCGGCCTATCACAAGAAACCCAGAAATTCCTGGACGTAGTTTCCAGCAACATCTCGACAAACGCAGTCGGTAATTTGACCATGCCTCTACCTTTCCGAAAAGACGACCCAGTGCTGCCGGACAACAGGAAGGCAGTGTTTCACCGGACGCACAACACCCTGGAAAGACTCAAGAAAGAACCAGCAAAATTATCTCAATGCATCGAAGTGATGCAGAAGTATCTCGACGCGGAACATGTAGAACCCGTTCCTCTGGAAGAACTGGAACCGAGTAGGCCAGGCAAGGCTTGGTGGATCCCAATTTTCCCAGTCACGCACCCGAAGAAACAGAAAGTCAGACTGGTATTCGATTCATCGGCCAAGTATCAAGGAACGAGCCTTAACGCAGAATTGCTCGCGGGCCCCGACCTGAACAACCGCTTACGTGCAGTACTTCTTTGCTTCAGACTTGGAGCCGTGGCATTCGCGGCAGACATTGAATCCATGTTCCATGGATTTTTCCTACAGCCTCAAGACAAGGATTTTACCAGATTTTACTGGTTCAACAAAAATGATGCCAAGAACAGACTCGCCCAATTTAGAGCAAACGTCCATATTTTTGGTAACTGCAGCAGCCCTGCAGTCGCAACACTCGGACTCCGACATGCAGTCAATTGTCCAGACCTTGAAGTCTCCCCAGAAACTCGTGACTTCGTTGAAAGGCGTTTTTATGTAGACGACGGTCTCGGCACGGCAGATAGCCCCCAACAGGCTATAAAAATCCTCACCGAGACTAGAAAAGTGACTATGTAGCAATATCAGTATATCAGTCATGCAGTGCTGTTTATTATGCGCCTAAAATATGGCCTTACTGTCGTCTGTATGTACTCTGTAGTGTCTGTACTCTGTAGAGTAGTGTCTGTACCACACTAGGATGTGGCGTCAAAACCGCCCAGTGTGAAAGATTGCATTGAATGCCATTGCAAGCTTAACTGTCACCGGTCACGGCCAATCTACCGCCGCAGTTTTAACACAACACACGCGGGCGTCAGGCATCAAAGTCTACGCCGGACGCTGCCGTAAAAGCCGTTGTGTGAACAGCAGTGCTCATTTCGGATGTCCACTAAGGTTCGGTGATAAATACCGTTGGACGCTGGCAGTATTTACTGTCCTGTGTGAAAGGGGCTTAAGACTTGCGTTGGTTGTTGAATATTATATGTCAAGTTATCAAACAGATGGTGTATTAGGACCACATCAGTTACGTCACCCAGTGAGAACATCGAAACACGTGTCAAAATTGATAGTTTACCTTGCTCTACCTAATAGTGATAAACTGATTGTGTAGAAAGAATATTATGGTTTGAGACTTTTAAATATGTCTGAATATATTGGGTATCCTTTAACTTTTGAAATATTTCACTTCAAACGTAAATATTCAGTGAAATGAAAATCTGTCTTTAAGTATACTTGTATTTACTGATTTTAAGTGGTAACTAAATTAATAGATGATGAAGTAAAGAGATGGTTTTAGACACATAAAAATTGATTCCAACACAGCTTGGAATTAGACACACATAGGGTAAACGCGGTATATTCCGACACATTAAGGACGCATCGAGAAATGAAAAACTATAAAAAAAAAACATATGCGTTACGTAAGTTCTGTTGCCTTCACATGACTCTCAAAACACTTCACTACGCGTCAGCAATGATGAAACGTCACAAAATGTTGCCATATTTATTAAAAAGCCTTTAGAATGGAAACCTACCAAATCCCTATATTCCGTCACTTTGTGTGGCAATATTCGACACGTGGTGAGTCGTATTGCGTCAGAGCTTCAAATTTAACTGATACGTATTGCCGACATCCACGTGTTCTAATTCCGTTTGCTGTGTGAGCTGTATTGGGATACAACACGGCTTTGAATTAGAACACTAACGAATATTGAACACTACTTAATTGCGTTTTAATTAACAGCTATTAGGCTTTTAATTAAGCAAATTTCAATTTTTGTACAAAGCTTTGAACGATCTGTGTGTGTCCAATTCAAGTTGTGTCGGAATTAGTTTTCATGTGTCTAAATCCAACATCTCAACTTAATCATTTATTAATTTATTTACGACTTGAAATCAGCGAATACAAGTATACTTAAAGGATTCCTAATATATTCACAGACGTATTTAAAAGTCTCAAACCATAATATTCTTCCTATAAAAACTGTTATTCACTATTTGGTAGAGCCATGTCAACTGTCAAATTTGACACATTTTTGGATGATCTCACCACGTGGCATGCATTGTCTCTCTTTGGATCTCAATATTTTCCCACTAGATGGCCAAGACCTAGTGTTTTTGCAGTATTTCGAAACGCAAATGTATGACGTCACCAGTTCAACCATCAATGAACGCATGTCACTAAAACAAAGGTTAATATAAAGGAAAAGCTGGAGAGGTGACAGAATTACCTAGGATGTCGGAATATACCGCGTTTACCCTAGCTCGTTCCAAGGCCCAAGCTGTGTCCAAAAATTAAAATTTTCTTGATAAGAAGCTCAATAGCTCTTAGTTAAAAGCTTAATTAAAAGATTGAAATTTTCTAATTAAGCTCGTTCCGAGCTGTCATATTCCAATACAGCTCACACAGGGAGTATGAATTCCAGCACAGGGCATTGGAATTACGAATTAGTACAAGTTTGAAGTGCTGTCAGAATTAGTCTCACAATATGCCAAATTTCATAACACACAGATTTGGAATTCGGCAATTTTGTTGATTTGAATTCTAAAGGCTTTTAAATAAATGGCAACAGTTTATGACGTCTCATCATTGCTGGCGCATAGTGTGGTGTTTTGAGTGACGTAAAGCAATCAGAACTTGAGTTACTCATATGGTGATCTTTTTATAGCCATTCATTTATTTAAGTCACAACCATTATATTTTTGAAGCAATAAATCATTGTTTCAGTTACTTTTCATTCTGTTGCATGGTGCACAATTCTATCAATGACATTCTAGGCACAATTCTTGATAACTGATGATGCATTAATTATTCAGTGAAATTTTTTTAAAGCATGGTAAATGTAGTCATAGTTCTCTGTTGTTAATTGATTTTTTCATTAACTGGAACCTTTGATTATTGAGATTCTATTGTAGATGTGTTTCTAGGGGTGTCCCGTATTAAACCGGGGTGATGTTCCTTATTACCCATATTGTGGGAATGGCTGCCATTTTGTTTTGGATTGAGGTTCAAAAATTAGGTCAATGAAGGTTTAAAGCTGATGCCTATCTGCAACTTTTTTCAAGCAAAATTT